AAAAGGACAAAAACACCCCAGGTGGCCCATGCTTTCAGCCTGAGAGTCTCAGAAGAATGTGCAGAGGCCCGTGTGATTAGCCACCATCCAGCCCACCTGCCCCAGGCCACACTGCTCCAGAGGGAGAGGCCAGCAGAGGTATCTCATCTCAGCACACAGGTGGGGGCGGGTAATGGGCTGGAGTTGACCCAACAGATTGTGGCAGATTGCCGGCTGAGGCTCCACCTTGAGTCACCTCCTGTGTGCTGTGGTGCACACATGCCCCTGCTAGACAAAGGTAATTTACTTTGTATGGGAACCACAAATGTCATCTGTAGTTTTATCTAGATGTATGTGTTGGAGATACATACCTTGACCAGTCGTGTTATTTAAATTATTGCCAGCAATGTATGCAAAAGTCAACGTTCTACTCCTAGGGGGATAAAACAATTTTGAAAGCAATGAGGAACAAGCCCAACTTTCCAACAGCTTTATTTTAAAAAGCGAATGTGGAGAGGAAGTCTAAGGACAGAAGGGGCACACACCTCAGCATGTATAAGACCACATACAGGCAGGTACAGAGGAGGGGCCCAGACTCCACATAAATACTTGGTGAAGATAAACGGTAAACAGTGGGACAGGAGAGGGAGCCCAGAAATACTCCCACACACGTATGGTTGATGGTTTTTGACAAAGGTGGAGCAAGGACAGTGTCCTCAATAAACGGTTTTGGGAAAGCTAGATATTCACAGGCAGAGGGATAAAATTGGCCCTTATCAGACACCGTACACATCCTGGACTCCAGCCGTGGAAACCCTCCAGGGACATTGTGGGGGTGACTGGCAAGGTTAGAATAGGGATTCCAGATCAAGCTGCCATGTGACACTCGGGTCCCTTGACTTTGAGACTTGTGCTGTGGAAACACCAGGAACACTCTCGTCCTTGTTCCTGGAAACAGCCCAAGTGCTAGGGACAGAGAAGCGTGATGCCAAGGAGGTACAAGATGTATTTCCAAATGGCTCTAGGAAAATTTAATTTTTTTTTTTTTTTTTTTTTTTTTTTTTTTCACAAAATCAATACCTCAGCAAATGACTCTGTACCCTCCTGGAGTCTTCCTGTTCCTTGTTTTGTGTCATCCTCAGACGCCAAATGAAATGCGCAATGCAGAGGGAAGAGGTGAAGCTCCCAGGGGCCCAGTTCACTCCCTGACTCAGGTGGCGAGCTCCGGGCTCCGACCACCCTGTGCTGAGCCTTCACTGACTCCACTGCATCATGCAGGGATTCTTAAAAAGTGATGAAAGGGAGTTGGGGAGGGATAACATGGGGAGAAATGCCAGATATAGGTGATGGGGAGAAAGGTAGCAAAGCACATTGCCATGTATGTACCTATACAACAATCTTGCATGTTCTTCACATGTACCCCAAAACCTAAAACACAATAAAATATATATTTTTTAAAAAGTGATGAAAGGTGGAACACTTCATCTGAAAGAGGTCAGCCCAGTGTTTCCTGGGACAGGCAGTGGGCAACCTCTATGTCCTTCCTGGTGCTCAGTTCTCCACATTCTGCCCTTGAGGGAGCCTTGGGTGATCTGAGTGGCATCACCCGTATCTTGAGATATCCATTTGCATAAACACAGCAGTGCCTAGATTTGGCTTCTAATCCCACTCTCCAGTAAAAGGAACCAGGGGTCCTTGGAGAAACGGGTCTAGTACTAGAGCAGGGAACACAGAGATAAGCCTGGGTGTCCTGCAGTTCCAGAAAATCAGTCTGTGCCCAACAAAGCAGCTGTGAATGGACAGAGGAGGCCAGCAAAAAGGGCTCCTCATGACCAACGCTGGAAAAACCTGATCAAGAAAGTTGTCTGGGCGCAGTGGCTCACATCTGTAATCCCAGCACTTTGGGAGGCTGAGGCAGGTGGATCACCTGAGGTTACAAGTTCAAGACCTGCCTGGCCAACATAGTAAAACCCCATCTCTACTGAAAATATAAAAAGGAGCCGAGGCTGAGGCAGGAGAATCGCTTGAACCTGGGAGGCAGAGGTTACAGTGAGCTGAGATCATGCCAGTGCACTCCAGCCTAGGAAACACAGGGAGAGTCTGTCAAAAAAAAAAAGAAGACAGAGGGAAAGAAAGAAAAAAAGAAAAAGAAAGAAAAAAAGAAAGAAAGAAAGAAAGAAAGAAAGAAAGAAGAGAGAGAGAGAGGGAGGAAGGGAGGGAGTGGGGAGGGAGGAAAAAGAAAGAGGGAGGGAAGGAAGGAAGGACAGAAGGACGGATGGACACAGAGAGTGGGGGTCACAAACCAGAGATGAAATGGAGCACACGAGTCCACATGGATGTCAGTGCATGACAGGATAAATAAATAGGGAGGAGACAATCTTTCTTGCAGAAGAATTACGGATAACAGAGGTAGATGCACCTGCTCTGAGAGGTGGACGTGATTCCACACTCTCACTACCTTGAGGGTGGCCTGGGCTGAGACAGGTTCCCAAGGAATAGAAGAAGAAGAGGGAAACAGGCATTTCACAGGGAGACACCAGGCAAACATCACCTCAGCAAGCAATGAAGGTGAGCGGATATGGGGCACTGTGGTATCACGTGACTCCTCTTCCCAAACACACGCACCCCCAGTCTAATCATGGGAAGATCGTCTTCCCTAGATTAGGGACCTGGATTGGGGAATGTCCTGCAAGATACCCAGCAAGTCTCCTCAAAGCCACTGAGGTCATGAAAGGCAAGGTCAGACAGAAACCGTCAGAGGCTGGAGGGGCTTTAGACATGACTGGCAAATGCATCTGGTGTCCTGGATGGGTCCTGGGATAGAGAGAATCTGCACTGGGGAACTCAGCAAAGTCCGAAGGCCTCCTGGAGGTGAGGCCGTGGTCGCACCCACAGACGTGAGAGGCTGACCACGGAAGACTGCACGGACTCCACTGGACTCTCTGCACTGTTGTGAAGACACTTTGCTGCATATTGAAGACAATTCCGTTTTGTTAAAAAAAAATTATTTTAAAAAATATTTTAATTCAAAACTATGGAGGCAGTAAAATGCTCCAGGATTGAGGGGAAGATTTTTAGGGTGGAGAAATGACTGTGCCTGATGCGACGATGGGAGATGAGAGTCCTGATCACCCGACCAAACCCGCAGAGTGGACAGCACCGGGAGTGAGACAGGGTAAATTCCGGCCATGGCAACGGTGACACGTCTGTGGGTGCGGCGGCTGTAACGAGCACCAGGGTGAGCCCACAGTAAACTCCAGCCGGTGGTGACGGTGACCTGTCAGTGTCGGTGCAGCGGCTGTAACGAGCACCAGGAGTGAACCAGGCTAAACTGCGGCCCGTGGTGACGGTGACCTGTCAGTGTCGGTGCTGCGGCTGTAACGAGCACCAGGAGTGAACCAGGCTAAACTCCAGCCCACAGTGATGGTGACGCGTCCGTGTGGGTGCAGCAGCTGTGACAAGCACACCCCTCTGGTGGGACATGTTGGTAATGGGGGAAGCTGTGGTGGAGGTAGGGGTTGGAGTGGAGATCTCTACCTTCTTTTTAACTTTGTTGTGAACCTAAAACTGCTCTAAAAAAAGAGTCTATTTAAAATAGTATATATGGCTTCAAGAAATGCACAACTGTTTTAATTCTTTCCCATGATGCATGACTGCTAAATCCAAATGACTGCTTTTTTTTTTTTTTTTTTTTGGAGAATATTTTTTTTTTTTTCCCCCGGGGGGGGGTGGCTGGGGCTTCTTCCTCCCCCACAACCCCCCCCCTCACCAACATGTGCAATTCCCTTG